GGTTCTCTCCGTCCCCAGGACCCCATGCTTTTTATTAACACAACTTGTCCTGAGGCGAGGCAGAGATATACACCTCAAAGGGCCAGGGTTTGGTACAGAGTCCATTGTCAGAATGGGGGAATAGCCTACGGCTGTTCAGGTGTTTGGCCAGTAGGAGGCAATAGCATGTAGATTAAGATGCCCTTTAACTGTCTAGCAGCCAAGAAATCCATTTAATGTATACTATTCAGGTTTGGGGAAATGCCTTTAGCCATTCCCAGATGCAGCCCTGCTGTGTGCTGGAATTGGTCTCAGGCATGGAAGGGAGGAGGATTTGGGGCTGAAGTTGAACAGATACCAGGGGCTGTCTTGAAAAGTCAGTTTGTTTGCTTTCCAGGAGACAGCTGGGCAGATGTCTTAGGGAGGTGTCTTGTCAGTATCTCCCCCAAGCCTGTAAAACATGCTCAGAGCAAAAGTTATGAAGAGTTCAAAAGAGGCTTGTTTGAAGGGGAGGGGAGAAGGGAACTTTCTACTAATTATCCCAGAGTTCTGAAAACAGCAGGGAGGAGAGGTATGCAAGAACATAGCCATTAGAGTAACTTGTCTTGCAGTTTGAACAGAGGGGCTGTTTGAATCAGAGGAGCTAACAATCTTCGAGTTTAATTACCAGTTACTTCTCATAAGTCATGCAAAGCCACAGCAAAGAAAAAGAAAGGCCTTTTTCCTGTCCTTACATCCACAAGGACCAATCCCCAGCCAGAATGACTAAGTGAAAGGTGGTGAATAAATATCCAACAGCTGTTTCCCAGTGGTGAAATCGGGGTGCAGCGGCTGGAGCATTTCAGCTGGGCCTTGCTCTGGGGAGCCTGCACCGCTGAGCAGGGTGAGAGTACCCTGCCCTGAAAAACGATTCATCCACTTTTAGGTTACTTCTTTTGCCCCCTGCACTCCTGTCTCCCTTGACTCCTACCTCCTGATCTCAGCATTTCTTTAAACCAGCGGTTCTCAACCTGTGGGTCGCGACCCCTTTGGGGGTCGAACGACCCTTTCACAGGGGTCGCCTTGTAACAATGGAATTGGGGGTCACCACAACATGAGGAACTGTATTAAAGGGTCGTGGCATCAGGAAGGTTGAGAACCACTGCTTTAAACGCTCTGGCATGTGAGCACTGGAAAGCTCAGGCAGGATACGTGCAGACCCAGACCCATAGAAGGGCATAGATGAAGCCCAAGGAACTCGGTGAAGGCAGATTTATAAACATAAAGAGGAAAGTGGTTGAGATGAAAAGGATGAGATGGCCCTAGCTGGTTTGGCTCAGTGGATGGAGCTTCAGCCTGTGGACTAAAGGGTCCCGGGTTCCATTCCAGTCAAGGATACATTTCTCAATCCCTGGCTCCAGTTGGGGTGGGAGGCAACCAAACAATGTGCCTCTCTCACATCAATGTTTCTGTCTCACTGTCTCTCCCTCTCCCTTCCACTCTCTCTAAAAATTAATGGAAAAATATCCTCGGGTGAGGATTAACATTAAAAATAAGTTGTTTTGTGGTTGGTTGGTTGGTTTGTTTGTTTGAATTTATTTTTCTTGATTTAGTAAGGGAGAGGGAGAGAGGAATAGAAACATCAATGAGAGAGAATCATTGATCGGCTACCTCCTGCACACCCCCCACTGGGGATGGAGCCCACAACCTGGGCATGTGCCCTTGACCAGAATTGAACCTGGGACCCTTCAGTCCACAGGCCGATGCTCAGTCCACTGAGCCAAACTGGCGAGGGCTGTGGTTTTGTTGTTGTTTTTTTTAATGCCCAGCCAGCATGGCTGAGTGGTTGAGCGTCGACCTATGAACCAGGAGGTCTCGGTTCGATTCCAGGTCAGGGAATATGCCTGGGTCGTGGGCTCAATCCCCAGTGTGGGGTGTGCAGTTGGCAGCCAATGAGTGATTCTCTCTCATCATGGATGTTTCTATCTTTCTCTCCCTTTCCCTTCCTCTCTGAAATCAACAAAAATATTTTTTTTAAAAAAAGAAAGGATGAGATGTACCAGAGGGAATGACAACAGCAGAAACTTCATATTAGGTGAACTCCCGGAGATACTGCACAACATGGAAAGAGGAAAGGATACAAGGTTGGAGACTGATCCAAACAGAAAGGAGTGTGACAAACACTGAAAAGACGCTCTGTATTATAAGTTGTGTTACGAGAAGGCAAGCACTGTCCAAACTAGCCTTCGTGAGTTTTTTTATAATGAAATAAAGTACTTTAATTTATAAGTTTCTGATGTTTTAAATTACAGTGCACTGTAGATGAATATTAGTTTTACTATTTTCTTCACTTTCCAATACATTAATAACCAGCATTAGGAGCTAGTTAAAATGTACTATGTTTTGACAAAAAATTTTAAAAGTCACATAACACTGAGAATCTTTCCCACATGGTTTTAGCTGGCATGGTCTTGCTGTATCATACAAAGCAAGGATTGTCTATATTTCTTATTCCTCATTAAACAAGTTAATAGACGTGCCTAAAAGAGTGTTTGTCACACAGTAAGTGCTCAGTAAATGTCACCTATTAATTAAAAGACAATACATTACTGTTTTTCACCTTTAGTACAAAACTCTTTCTTTTTAATGTCCATACTTGCTTCCTCAACATCTCTCCTTCCTCTCCTTCCATTCTCTCTTAAAACCATTCTAATCAGGCTTTTGTCCAAAATTGTTCTCCTCAAAGTAATCTCGCAGAACTAGAATAATCCAAAAATTTATATGGAACAACACACATACACACACACACACACACACACACACACACACAC